TTAAAATTGTTTGGAGAGTTAAATATTGTAAAATCGATTTTTATAAAGTACTGACTGTCTAGTCAATACAAAACAGCGGTTGCAAACAACATACTAGCAGTATGGTAGAGATATTTTGTAAGTTTGGCTGTTTTTGTAAGAGTCGCACGCTGAGAGTCGACAGATTTTCCCCACATCAAGAACTACAAAATTTTTTTTCTCGAAAACGAGGCAAAACACGTTCTTGGGGTTTTTTTCTAAGATGTAGGAAAACTGAAAGTATATAAAAAATATTTTTTCAGATTTTTCGACTCTCTCCCCGATTGTTAAAAAAATTGTTGAAAAGTTTATTGTTAAATAAACAATGGAAAACAAAACATTTTTGGAATCTTCATTTTTTTCTCGTAAACTAAAACATTTTTCGCGTATTTTGAAAAAAAAGCAGCTGGCTAGCATTATTAGTAACAAAGCTATGAATTTTTGAAAATAAAGTAGTCTAATTTTTAATTGTTTATATCTCGATTAATTTTGCAATAAGAAAAAAATCCTTTGGCACAAAATTCTATCTCCCAAAGTACTACCTTTGTGCAAAATTAAAAAAATTTCTGAGAGATGACTGATTCGCTTCACGTGGAATGGCCCATATATATAGCACAAGCGCTGCTATTTACATATATATATATATATATGTATATGTATATATATTCTATATATTTATATATTCCATGTAATTTATAGTATTAGAAGCTTATGTTAAAACTAATTTCAACGAAAAACATGATAATGGATTAAATACATTAATTGGTATTGGTTTGGTATTACGGATGGAACATATAAAATTGACAATACTAAATTATCAGACTCTTCAACATAGAATAATAATGAGTGACGAAAAGGCACTAAGAGTCACCTATGTAAACCTGGCACCCGACTTTAAAAAAAAAATTTTTTCAAGTGCGCATTAAATTCAGCTCGGTTTGTACCCGTTTGTACCACCTTCCTTTTCGTTTGTACCTCAAGGGGTTGAAAATTATAAAGGGTTGAAAAAAATGTTAGCACCCCACTTTGAGATTTTTCAAATCCGCAAGCGGGTGCTGTTTTGGGATCGTTTGTACCCGTTTGTACCACCTTCCATTTTGTTTGTACCCTTAAGGGGGTGATTGTACCGAATTTTCAAAATAGGGGTAAGAGCTAACTTCGCCATTTTTTAAGATATTTTAAATCCGTAAGCGGGTGCTATTTCGAGACCGTTTGTACCCGTTTGTACCACCCTCCTTTTCGTTTGTACCCTTAAGGGGGTGATTGTACCGAATTTTCAAAATTGGGGTAAGAGCTAACTTCGCCATTTTTTAAGATATTTTAAATCCGTAAGCGGGTGCTATTTCGAGACCGTTTGTACCCGTTTGTACCATCCTCCTTTTCGTTTGTACCCTTAAGGGGGTGATCGTACCGAATTTTCAAAATTCGGATAAGAGCTAACTTCGCCATTTTTTAAGATATTTTAAATCCGCAAGCGGGTGCTATTTCGAGACCGTCTGTACTCGTTTGTACCACCCTCCGTTTCGTTTGTACCCTTAAGGGGGTGATTGTACCGAATTTTCAAAATTCGGATAAGAGCTAAATTCGCCATTTTTTAAGATATTTTAAATCCGCAAGCGGGTGCTATTTCGAGACCGTTTGTACCCGTTTGTACCAC